ACACACACACACACACACACACACACACACACACACACACACACACAAACACACACACACACACACACACACACACACACACAAACACACACACACACTCAGAAAATTAGAATATTACTTAAGACCAATTAAAAAAAGGATTTTTAGAAATGTTGGCCAACTTTAAAGTATGAACATGAAAAGTATGAGCATGTACAGCATCAGTACTTAGTTGTTGCTTCTTTTACCTGGATTACTGCAGCAATGCATCATGGCATGAAGTTGATCAGTCTGTGGTCCTGCTCAGGTGTTCTGAGAGCCCAGGTTGCTCTGATAGTGGCCTTCAGCTCTTCTGAATTGTTGGGTCTGGTGTATCATCTTCCTCTTCACAATAGCCCATAGATTTTTTTATGGGGTTAAGGTCATGAGAGTTTGCTGGCCAATTAAGAACAGGGATACCATGGTCCTTAAACCAGGTACTGGTGTGTGCAGGTGCCAAGTCCTGTTGGAAAATGTAATCTGCATCTCCATAAAGTTGGTCAGCAGCAGGAAGCAGGAAGTCTCTAAAACTTCCTGGTAGATGGCTGCGTTGACCTTGGACCTCAGAAAATACAGTGGACCAACACCAGATGACATGGCCCCAAACCATCAGTGACTGTGGAAACTTGACACTGGACCTCAAGCAACATGGATTCTGTGCCTTTCCTCTCTTCTTCCAGACTCTGGGACCTTGATTTCCAAAGGAAATGCAAAATTTACTTTAATCAGAGAACACAACTTTGGACCTCTCAGCAGCAGTCCCAGGTGAGACGCTTCTGAAACTGTCTCTTGTTCAAGAGTGTCTTGAAACAAGGAATGTGACAGCTGAAACATATGTCTTGCATATGTCTGTGTGTGGTGGTTCTTGAAGCACTGATTCCAGCTGCAGTCCACTCTTTGTGAATCTCTCCCACATTTTGGAATGGGTTTTGTTTCACCATTCTCTCCAGGGTGCAGTTATACCTATTGCTTGTACACTTCTTTCTACCACATCGTTTCCTTCCCTTCACCTCTTTATTAATGTGCTTGGACACAGAGCTCTGTGAACAGCCAGCCTCTTTAGCAATGACCTTTTGTGTCTTGCCCTCCTTGTGCAAGGTGTCAATGGTCATCTTTTGGACAACTGTCAAGTCAGCAGTCTTCCCCATGATTGTGTAGCTACAGAACTAGACTGAGACCATTTAAAGGCCTTTGCAGGTGTTTTGAGTTAATTAGCTGATAAGAGTGTGGCACCAGGTCTCTTCAATATTGAACCTTTTCACAATATTCTAATTTTCTGAGATACTGAATTTGGGATTTTCATTAGTTGTTAGTTATAAACATCAACATTAAAAGAAACACCTGTAGAAGGAGGTGAGGACTGAGCTTCCCAGACCAGCTTGTCTCAGCCATCTGAGGAAGTAGAGTCTCTGATGAGCTTTCTTGATCAGGCTGGTGGTGTTGTTGCTCCAGCTGAGGTTGTTGTTCATGTGTACACCCAAGTACTTGTTGCTGGAGACCACTTCCACAGCAGATCCTCTTATTTTCAGGGGGTTGTAGGTGTGTTTGTTCCTTCTGAAGTCCACAATCATCTCCTTTGTCTTCTTCACATTGATGTGAAGGTTATTCTCTTTACACCAGCTTCTGTAGCTGGACTCATCATTGTTTGTGATGCATCCCACCACCGCTGTATCATCTGAAAACTTTACAATATGACAGCTTGGATGGGTAGCTGCACAATCATATGTGAGCAGAGAGAACAGGAGAGGGCTCAGCACACATCCCTGAGGAGAGCCAGTGCTGAGGATTATGGTGGAGGAGGAGAAGTTGTGGATCCTCATAGACCGAGGTCTGCTTGTTAAGAAGTCTATGACCCAGTTGCAAATGAAGGGGCTTAGTCCTAGTGTGAATATTTTGTCCATCAGGGTTTAGGGATCATGGTGTTGAAGGCAGATGTGAAGTTCACAAAGAATATACGGACGTAGGAGTCCTTCTACTCCAGGTGGGTGAGAGCAGTGTGGACCACAGAGGAGATGGCATCCTTTGTTGATGGCTTCTCGCAGTATGCATACTGATGAGGGTCCTCGTTGATGTTGATGGTTGTTTTGATGTGGGTCATGACCAGTTTTTCAAAGCATTTAGCAACTAAAGTATCTGGGTCAGGGCCACTGGCTAATAGTCATTCAGACCAGTCACTGTAGCACTCCTTGGGACTGGGATGATGGTGGCAGTCTTCAGGCAGGTGGGAACTGTCTCCAAGGTAAGTGAGGAGTTAAAGATGTCGGCCAGCACCTCGCAGAGCTGATCGGCACATTCTTTCAACACCTTCCTGGGGATATTGTCTGGGCCGGCTGCCTTATGAGGATTAGTCCTCCTGAAAGTATTCCTTACTTCTGCTGAGGTCACGCTGAGAAGCT